GCTGTTGTTTCTGTGTTGCAATGGATACCCGTACTGCAAAGCAATACCCACTTCTAGGTTTAAAAAGCCTAGCACTATGAAATGGAGCATCGCAGTTACCCAGATAATTCGATGTTTCTGCATGTACACACATGCACGTGCGTGTGCACTTACATGAACAGGGCTGCAGAAAAGCAACCTCTGTTGGAAGTGGTCAGGCATGATGCTAAAATATGCACTAGGGGCCTTGCAAAAAGGTTGGGCCTCACTGTTCCAAGGGCTCTTTAACAAGGCATCAAACCCCTCAAGTTGCATGTGACAGTCTGATCTACTGCTCTACTTTCTGTTCCCTGCCCTATCTACAGCAGTTCTCCGTGCTCCCTCCTTGATCTACCCCGTGCCACACACACGAGCTTCCAATGCCACTTGTGGCCCTTGTGCTACAGGTGAGGCACCCCTGCCTAGAACCACATGTCCACTTTGAAAATCAACCATGCGCATGCATCACTGCGCCCCAAGAAGGCACTTCTTCACAGCAGATCAGATGGTATCACATACAAGTTTTTGGAATAAGCTTTTGCACTAATCACTGAGGTTTTCTGAGCTTTCCCAGTGTGTCGCCAAGTTGGTAAAATCCATGCTGCGTGTTCATATAATATATATTCTGCTGATAAAACCTCAGCTGTTAGTTTCCCTCAGAACAAATGGACAAAAAATGGTGTGATGGCAAATTAGGATCCCATGCATTTTATAAGCAGATACAGTAAAAGTTTCATACGTAATTAATTGCAGAATAATGCCCAAGAGGGATTTATAAATTCTATACTTATTGACCTCCAAAAGAACTGCATTTCACTGCTTACGGGTATAAGTAGAATAGGTCTTCAGTCCAACAAAAAATAACAGGAATCTCTTGAGCCTGATGCGCAAATACCCACATGCCCTTCTTATGTGAACAGAGAGGTACAGAATCATAACATCACAGAAAGTTAGAGTTAGGAGGGACCTCAGGAGCTTACATTTAGTCCAACCCCTGCTCAAAGCAGGACCATCCCAACTAGATCATCCCAGCCAAGGCTTTGAACAGCAGGGTTTTGAAGCCTCCAAGGATGGAGCTTCCACCACCTCTCTGGGTAACCTGTTCCAGTGTTTTACTACCCTCCTAGTGAGAAAATTCTTCCTAATATCCAACCTAAACTTCCCTTGCTTCAACTTGAGCACATTGCTCCTTGTTCTGGCATCTGCCACCACTGAGAACAGCTCCATCCTCTTTTGAACCCCCCTTCAGGTAGTTGAAGGCTGCTATTAAGTCCCCCTCAGTCTTCTCTTCTCCAGCCTAAATAAGCCCAGTTCCCTCAGTCTTTCCACAGAAGTCATGTGCCCCAGCCCCCTCACTATCTTCATTGCCCTCTGCTGGACTCTCTCCAATTTGTCCACATCCTTTCTGTAGTGGGGGGCCCAAAACAGACACAGCACTCCAGATGTGGCCTCACCAGTGCTGAATAGAGGAGCATAATCCCTTCCCTGAAGCTAGTGGCAACACTCCTACCAATGCAGCCAAGGATGCCTTTAGCCTTCTTGGCAACAAGGGCACACTGCGGGCTTATATTCAGCTTATTGTCCACTGTACCCTCCACGTCCTTTTCTGCAGGCCCAGCCTGTCAGCCCCCAGCCTGCACCGGTGCATGGGATTGTTCTGTCCTAAGTGCAGGACTTTGCACTTGTCCTTGTTGAGCCTCATGAGACTCCTTTTGGCCCAGTCCTCCAATTTGTCTAAGTCACTCTGAATCCTAGCCCTGCCCTCCAGCCTATCTGCTACTCTCCCCAGCTTGATGCCATCTGCAGACTTGCTGAGGGTGCACTCCATGCCATCTTCCAGGATGTTGATGAAGACATTGAACACAACCAGCCCCAGGCCCAGCCCCTGGGGCACTCCACTTGATACTGGCTGCCAACTAGACATCGAGCCATTGATTATTACTCTCAGAGCCCAAAGCTCCAGCCGGTTTTCTATCCACCGTACAGGCCATTCATCCAGCCCATACTACCTTAGCCTGCCTGTGAGAATGCTGTGGGAGAGCATAAAAAGCCTGATACAACCCATTTGTCCATGAAGGTACCCTCCTATAAGTAAAAGACACTTATTTTTTTCTACAGAGTGAAGGGTCACCTTTCCTCTAACTCTTCTGATGCTGCAGGCCTTTGAAAACATGGGCTTCTGATTTTCAAAGTGAAATTCTTGGTGCCTTGCACTGATAAAGATGACAAAATCTCCAGTCATGTGTTGATACCTGCTCTCTCTTTCCTGTGTCTTTATGTGAACTGTAAAGGCTACTGTTTAGTGTAAGACCTCTCTCTCTAAGCAGTATCTTATGTTTCTCATTTGGCTCAGAATGAGTCCTAATAAATTAATCTCTTATGTAACTGCAACTGCATTGTCTTCAATGGAATTGCATGATAGATTGTAAGCTGCCTGTAGCCACTCACACTGTATTTCCAACTCATACTTCACCCTTGCAGATAAATACTATCCACTATCCAAAGCCCCATGGTTTCAATGGGATTTAGATGCAACCTACTTTGCAGTAAGAAGGAGCTGCTCTACCACCCTTTAAAAGTGAATTAAGTCTTATTGTTTTGGACCTCATGATACTAAAGGAAAAAATGCATTAGATTAATAATGCTTCTGCTACCTTGAAACTTAATTTACAATCCCCTCTAATGCAATGACATTTGGGTGTTGGAGAGAAATTTGTTTTGTTGAGAAATTGCTTTAGCATAAGACTTGCTCGAGTTTATTAACAGGGAAAAAAAATTACTCCCCTCCCTTCCAACTCCCGCTGCATTCCAAAAATAAGAATCGCATTTCAACATGGACATTACCGGTTAAAATATAATTACAGATAATGAAATGTCATATTTCACACATACTCCCAGAAAACTGCACTTCTAAGCCGTCCCCAAAACACTGCAGGGTGTAACCATCCCTTTCTTCCTCCTTTGTAAAAATAATATTTCACAATGGAATTGTGTGATGACAAAAAATGATGCTGGAAAAGCATTGCTACCCATACAGACATAAGGAACTGCCACAGGCCACTGCATGCAATCCCACACAATATTAACTAGTCATTGCATCTCCTTCCAAGGGTACATTCTTCTCTAGTGAGCTACGGCATAAATAAGAGTCCTTACAGAAATGGAGAGGCATAGCACTGAACGGAGTAGGAAACCATGTCATTTATCAAAAATGCTTGGCTTAGACTTTTTTTAATGTTTCGTTTTATTGCTGTTATGTAGAATGTTAATCAACATTAGAAACTTGTTCTGCCAATTACTTGGGAATGAGGGTAAAATATTTGTCTCTTATTTAAGCATGGCTGAAAAAATAAAATTACACAATTGCTGCAGTGCTGGAGTTACGTTAACTTATCTTGGACACTTCGATCTGCACAGAGCTTCCGTTGCAGAAGAGAACTCCCCCTGGTTTCTATTATACGGGAGCAAAGCCTGGTAATGTTTTCTGCAAAGGTTTGTTTGCACTTGAAAGCAAATTTCTGCAAATATTCAAATGCTGGTTCGATAAATCCGAATCCAGTGCTGATGTTGTGTTTGCATAGGCACCAATTGTGAAATTTGCTCTGTGCAGAGGCCCAAGGTGGATAAATCTTTCCACCATTTAAACCCTGCGTTAAGCCTTCAAAGCAGGCTGGAGTGGGAAGGACGTATCTGTAGGTCTTGTGCAGGCTTCCTGTGTAGAGTTAAGTTTACTCAATGAGCAAGAAATAGGTAAAAGTTTGTAACATGCTTTGAAGAAAAAAAAGAAAATTATTTTCACTGTGTGCTCAGTAACAGAAAAAATGCACAATTCAATATATAAATTAACTGTTAACTCATCCCTAATTTGCTGTAACTCTGAACCTGGGACTATTACAGCTTTCTGGGGATAGGTGTGTTAGGAGCCTGAGCTCAGGGTAGCATGAGAAGAGATGGAACTGTTTTCATCATGCTTGTACCCCATTTTGCATCCAAATAGATAAACACAGCCTGGTGTGTTACTAGGGTGAAATATTGGTAGCACCTGAGTCTTATAACTGAATTAACTAGGGATGCTGGGGCTGACTGCAAGGTATTGCGGCAAGATTTTAAACATTGAGAATTGCAGGGATTTTGAGGCTAGTGACTGTGTGACCACAAAGGCGTCTGTTGTCTTAGCTCCACCTATATTTACCTCTCTTTTAGGCTGGAGAAGAAGTAGGAAGAACAGATACAATTAAGCAGGTCATTAAAACTTAGTATTTGGTTTAAACAGGTAATACTGTTTTGTTAGCTCCCCCACTCCTTTTTAATCTGTTCTGATAAATTCTTCAAAGACAAAGGTAATAGAATTATTGAAATTTGAACATTTGAACAACTCCAATGCTGTTCTTTCCATTCCCCAGCCTAACCCTGCCCATGAGTTAGCAATGCCTTGGCCATAAACATAGCACAGAGTAATCATGGCTAATACCATGCCTCGAAAACGGTTTGCAAATTTGTGTAGTCTGAAGCTCTTTTATAGCTTCTCTTTTCCTAATGTCTTGGATAGACAATTGGATAACAGCTCAAAACCCATTCCATCTTCAAACACAAGCATGCTTTTGATTCAGAGCTTTTGAAAACCAGTTAGATTTACACCCAGGCTGCTCTGGAAATAAATCTGCTCATTTAGATGAGGTCTCATTTGAAATGGCTTAGTTCGATAATTAATCATTTTGCTGCCTTTATATATCTGTGGGTATTTGAAAGAAGTTTGATTAGTTACCAGTGATTACACTTCCCAAGTCCCTGCAAAGGAAATAATAAAATAAACCCAGTCAGGACTTCACAAAAATCAAAAGGATTTCTTGGGGCAGGTTTAGCTTGCATTTAATAGGGGCTAGCTAATTGGCAAGCTCTTAATTGCATTTAACATGGAGGAGATAGCAAAGTGCCTTCTCCTCTAAAAGCCCTCTAAAGGACTCTCAAGCCCATTCACCCACCTGATCGTGCTAACCTCGAAACTGCCACAGCCAAACCACGACAGCATGCAAAAGCGTTCACGTCCCTGCAGTGGAAACCCCTCCGCTCCCATGCATGGCACGAGGACGCTGCCTGTGATTTTTCTGCCTTTGTTAGCACAGGTACCGTCACAACAGAGACCCCACCCCGTGGGAGAGCCAGCCCGGTCGTGGAATGATTTACGTTCATTCAATAAATGCAGGATTTCATTTACCGATCTGCTGTTTCTAGTCGCACTGAATTATTGTAAGGAGGCCTGAGATCCCAATCTGATGGCATTTACTTAATCCCGGGGGTCTCCACTGAAGGGGAAGGAAATCTGTCAGTTGGAAGGAGAGCTGCACATCTAATACTGCCAATCTTTGCTTATCTATAGTAAGGTCACAAAGTATGCGGGAGTTACATATACACATGCTGTTTAACCTGTCCCTATTATCCCAATGACCTTAACCAGCTAGGCAGTTCAGAGAGTAGGCACTAAACAGAGCATGAGATGAATTTAATGGATTACCAGGGAGTATGTTATTGCAAGGAAAAGCACCTGTGGAGCAACATATTTACCTCAGTTCCACTGAATGAGCATGTTGAAAGTGAATTGGCACAGCCGTCTGCTTTATGAAAGGAAGTATTTTGTCATTCTTCATGCTTTCATTAAGAGGATTTAAGGCAGAGGATGCTGAAATGGTTTAGCGTTGGCACAAAGCAAAAAAAAAAACAAAACCCCCCCAAAACAACAAACCCCGTAGATTAATCGTGAAGGTCCAAAATTGTGAAGCATCTGATTTTGGCTTTTCCATCAACAGGCCTAATAAAGCAGGATGAAACTATTAACATACAAATAGACAGCCGTCTGATTAAAGCAGCGGCAATCAAACCAACCTGGAAAAGACCTCTTCACACAGAAAGCAATTATGATCGGGAAGGGAGTCCGATCCCCTTCCATCTGCAGCGAACTTGGGGAATCAAAATGCTGTCAGGCAGACGTCTGAAGAAAAACTGAAAAGGCCACTGCAAAATCTAGCCCATTTGAAGTACCAGATGTTAAAAAAAAATGCAAAAAACCCCTACTACAAATAATGAATTTAGCTCTCCCGCCTAAGCAAGCCTTTAATGGGAAGACTTTAATACAGTGGGCTGTCTTTGATTCCTCAGTGCAGAGGAAAATAGAGATGAAGGGCTCGTGTTATACAGGAGGTCCAATGTTATACAGTCCACCCTACTTTTCCAACCGATGTTGTAAATCCCCGGAGTTTGATGGCGACTTCCTTCGTTTCATTTTGCAACTGGCTTAGGACAGGCTGGGGTGTAAGGACGGTGAGACTCAGCTCTCTGACCCCTCTCCTCCACGGCAGTCGAGGCTGCGGCTGTTATAATGATGTAGTGTAGCACGGTCGATGAAATAGCCCTGTTACAATGCTGTGGCCTGGGAGAAAGCGTTGTGGCCCCTCTCTCACCTCCACGCAAGCCCGGTTCTTGGGCCTTGCACTGCAGGGAGGAAGAGGCTTAAAACATGTGATGCAGAGCGATCGGCGGTAGAAGGTCCTGCCCGCTGCCAGCCCACTGAAACTGATAGCTATGATCCAGAGATGCTCGTTTCAAATTAGCACCACACACTGTGCACCCAGTATAAAAGGTGACCTTCAGGCCATGGGTGGTCTTGAACCCATAACGATTGCTGACTGTGACGTCAGGCGGCCTGTTTCCCTGTCTTCATCATTAGAGCTTTTACTGGCTATGAACTACAAGCAAATGATTTTCCAAAGATTCAAGCAGCAGTGAATGACCTTCCTTCAAATAAAGGCAATAATAATCCTCAGCGCGCGGTTTCTCTATTTTAACATGTTCCCCAGCAAGACACTATTCCATGGGGAGAATAAGTCTATCTATTACCCATTAACAATTTCAAGGGAAAAAGCATCCATCCATATCGTGAAGACGCTATTAATTCTTCCCAGCAACATTAAATCATAAATATCACGGGCCAAGCCTTTAGCTGATGTATATCAGCATAGCATCGCTGGCATCGGTGGCACGGCATAGATTTACACAGCTGAAGATGTTTGCTTTGAGTTCAAATCTTTTTTTCACTGAAGTTTCACCTACAAACAATAGGATTTCATTCTTTACCTCCTTTGCCTCATTCCTTAATAGAGATAAACTTTCAACTTTTCAGCATCTTTTCAACCTGTAATTTTTTTTTTTTAACGTAAGGAGAAAGTGCTGCATGGCTAAGATGCTCCCAGAGGGTTGCTTTATTCTTTGAGCAATAACATTTAGAAAGAGCCCGGACTCCAACATTTACCATTTTAAGCTATTTAACTTAGGTAACACCATCTATCTACCCATGACGAGTGCTCTACCAGAGAGAAGTAACCTGAATTTACACTCAGCCCTAGGCCACTTAACATGATAATTGATGACCACTGAAGTATTTCAGCTTCTGTCTGAAACAAATTTTGTTTTGTCATGAAATAAATTACGCTGCAGTGCAGGAGACTCTTATTTCATGACTAAACAAACCTGTTTTCCTTGGTGCTGGAAAAAAATGTTGGTTGCACAAATGGTCAGGAAAGAAATCCTCTGCAGAAGTGATTGACATATTGGTCAATGCCTTTCTCATGATGGGTGGCATTCATCTCTGTTCAGAGAGCCTTTCTAGGGCCTAGGTCATACGTAAGTCCCATTGATGCAAACAGAGCTTAGGCAGTGCATTTAACTGGTCCATTCCTGGTGCAGAAAGTGTATAGGTGCATGCTTGCCTTTTGGTGTGTTTTTAGTGCAGTTGACTTCAAAGTTAGGTATGTGCATAAGTAGGGATGCTTTCCTGAATCTGTCTACACATACTCATCTGTTTACACCATTCCCAGGGCCAAGTGGCTTGCAGGGCATCTGCTATCAATCAGCCTCCTTTTCATGAGAGCTAGTCATCCAGACGATTTACAAAGACACTTTAAAACATATAACCCTCATGTACAAAGGAGATTTTCCCAGTGGGCTTTGATGCTACAGTGCGTGTCTCTAACTGGTATCACTCAGCCAGCTTGCTTTCTAAATGTCTTGCCTTACATAAAACTTATTTGGGAGGTTTTCTCCTGGAAGGTCAAGAAACTAGCCGAGCTTGATTAGAAGGGCAAAACCCTACAATACCTAGAAGCTTGCCTTAGTAAGGAACGAAGAAAAACCGAATTAAAAAAATAAAATAAAATAATCCTGTAGGATCTAGAGACAAGGGAAAGAATCACTAAGGATTGCCTCGACCTGTTTCAAAGGTGAGAGAACACTAATGTCCCTGTAGATTTAGACCATAGTAGAATATACCATTTTTTTGGTGTAAAACTGAGTTAAAGTGAATTTGCTGAGAAGACATCTAAGGTCTGCTAAAATGGCCTCCAATTTTGCTGATAGAGCTTTTCACTCACAAATAATTACACAGATAATTAATCGTGTGGACAAACAATGGCCACTAAGCCATGGGATGGCAGGTAGGCACTTACTGGCTTTTATTTGTGGGCACAATGATTTGTAAGCATAAAATTAGAAATGCAATTATTTATGACTTTAGCACTAGTGATGAAGCCTTTTAAAAGTCAACCCTCTTAAAGTACAACTCTGTCAAGTAATTAATATTACATAATAATGGCTGGAAAGCCTTACATGTTTGTTCGGGCTTCAAGTCAGAGCTGGGTAGTGGCTTCTGGGAACAAACTCCCAGGCGTTTTAAGGGCAGTTCCATACACCAGCGGTCTGGAAGATTGGGGCCTATAGTAAAAGCTGCAGAATACAGTGCAGCCATGAATAGGTACAAAGTACAAGTTTCATAGCACACGATGGCATCTCATTTACCAGCATCTTCTGGATGTCAGCTTTAAAATATTTTATTGATTGGCTATCACATTTCGTCATTCCATGTATAATTATGCACAAGAAGATGGTTGAGCGTCAAATAAAGTAACACCCCCATAGGTATCATTGCATGCTCCGTTATGCTGAGAAGTTTGGAAGTAGCCGTTGATTATACTTCTTCCTTGATTTTGGTTTTCGTGGATTGGTTCTGGCTCGCTGCTTACATGTCTGGAGTAATCAGACTGTTAAGTGCAGCATTTGGAGCCTAGTCCAATAGGCAAAACTAATAAATGATGCAATTAGCTGATATGGAATTACAGAGGAACATCATATGAAAGCTAGTGGTGCCAGATGAAGACCGAACCATTCAGAGAGAACTCCGAAATGACATGAAATTAAGTGATATGCAGCTAAGTGCTGTTTATTGTTTATGAAATGGGGAATTTAAAAAAAAAATCCTTTGGAAGATTTTATTCAATACACTTCCCAGATTTTCCCAAGGATTACCTCAAGAAGCCTGCAGTTTAGACAGAAACAAATGGTTTCTCAACAAAGCTTTCTGCATGTAATGCTTTATTGTCTTTCCTATACGATTACCTGTGGTATATTGGCTAGCTCAACCAATGAGTCCAGAAAAATCTCGGCATGTAAAGTTTTAACTCTTCAGCTCTTTGTCAAGTACTGTTTCATCTTTATTTTCCAAAATTAGAATGATGAAATCTCCAGGGGAATTTTTTTTCTTTACAGAGATTGCTAAAGTTTTATATTTTCAGCACCTCCAGGAAGAGTTTCTGTATCTCGATACAGAACTTGTAGACTACTCCCATTCCCATAAAGCTTGAGTCTGCCGCTGAGCTTTAAGCGTGATCTGTAAGTCCCACTATCCCAGCTGAGGAGGGGGTGTTTCCCTGGAGAAGAGATTGACAACCATGCCAAGTTGCATGGAAGCATTGCTAATATTTTCCTAGAGGCAAGAATCAGACAACCAAACTCGTGCCATTTTTGATAAGAAAGAGTTCCAGTCCGATCTCCAAATGTGAAATGCCTATGGACTTGCTCACTGTACCAGCTATCTCCCTTCTTCGCTCACCTTTGCCTGGGGATTTTGGAAATATCCAGTGGTGTCTATTAGTACTTACGGGAGGTCCTGGATAGAGCTTTCCAAGTGTACCAAACTGGATACTGCTTCTGCGTTCTGCCTGCCCACATTTTTACAGATATGAACGTCATCTGAAGCAAAAACGTGAACTGATTGTCCCAATTTTTTAACGTCACGTTAACTTACGTTCTATCCACCAATGTCTCTTTCCATAAGGGGAACCTTGCCAAACTAAATGAGGCTGTTGTGGGGAATTAAGCTTTGTATGCAAACATGCACATTTTTACACTAACCGCCATTTGGGCACTAGCTCTCACTAGACCCTTATTCGGTATTCTGCAAAATTAAAAGCAAGATTAAACCTGTTCGCTCACATTGTTCTTGAGCAATTGGGTATCTATCCACTGACTGCAGCAGGATTTGTATCAGACCACTATTGGGAAGACATTTTAAAATACCATCCAATAAGAGACATTTTAAAGT